AGCCAACTCGGAGCCTGCCCCCGTGGCTCTACGGGCACGGTGGGGTTTTTTCCCCCGATACGCACCATTCCCCAGCTTTTGATGACGAGTTCGGGTGTTATTTGTACCCCGCCGCAGACCTGGCGACCCAGGGCCCTTCCCAACGACGGCCGACAGCTCCTCGGGTCGGAGACCGGCTGCCCGTGCTCAGAGGAGAGGGGCAGGATTTGGGAGGCTCAGCCACCACCTTTCCCCAAACCCTCAAAACAACTAAAAACCACCCTGAACAGCACCGGGGAAACGCTGTTCCTTGGTGCTGTTTAAGCCTTTTCTAAACCTGTTTCTTTTGCTCAAGGTTTTTATTTTTCCTTCAGTGGCTGGTGCTCTTGAAGAGCTGCAAAAGACTGACCCTGTCCCTGATGCCAGTTTGATGCCAGATTTACAGTCTGAGCCCCAAAATCCTCCACTGCTTGCGAGGGCCTTCGAGAGAATCACAGAGGAAGTGTTTATTTCCTTCATAAAGATGTGTTTTAATATTTTAACATAAATCAAGCTGCGCTTTATGGTGATAATAAATTTGTTGGCAGAAACTGCCTTTGCAGCCCGAGGCAGTGGAGCAATTCAATTTGTTTGATTTTAAGTGTAAGGAGATGTAATTGAGAAGGGGAAAGTACAGATGTTTTAATTGACTTCTCAGATACCACCTAGAGCTGCAGGAGACTAATACAGATGAAGAGGCGAGGGTCTCCATCACCCCCTCTGCTTGCCCTTTCTCCCCGGCCCGCAGACCCGTTAGCCATGGGAGCCCCCTCCAGGAATAGCTGCTTGTTAAGCGGAAGAGAGGGGGGGAGAGGGAAGAAAGAGGCTAGATTAAAACAGATATATAATGTGCACTTTATTTTAGGTTTAATCCCTTTTTTTTTTGGAAAACTAATTACAGTCAGGACAAGCATCACGTGAGGATTTGTAGTAACGAATCGTTAGCACTGATAACAGCCAAATAAAAATAGACTCATTCCTGATGTGCAGGAGGAGAGCGGCTCCCACCCCGTGCCGAGCAATTGGAGCCACCCACCCCCCAGCTCCGCTTCCCACGAGCCCAGCCCAGGGCAGCGCTGGCTCTAGCGAGCCAGCCCATTCCCCCTCTCACTGGTAGTTTTTAAGGCATCACTATGTCATGTTTTGTATGAAAAATGTTCTCTCCACTGTGGACTTTCTTTCCATTAATCGCCCTGGTTCGTAGGGTAGATTTGTTTCACTGCTGTGCAAGGACAGCAGGTGTCTGGGAATTCTTGGTTATTTATTTAAGAAATCACTCATGTGCCTTGGGGACCAGAGCTCTTCTAGGTGAGGTCCCATGGCAAATGCTGGGGGCAGGATGCGAGAGAGCAAGGCAGGCAGCCCTCACCGTGCCACGCCATCCAAACCTGGGTACCAAGCAGCTCTGAGCTGAGCCCTGAGGCCCCCTCAGAAGTCACTGTCATGCACCATGCCAAGGAGGAGAGTCAGTCACCGAGGCCAGGGAAGAGAAGGCACATCTTTAAACGTAAGTCCATCAACTGAGAGCTGACCAACCGCCCTGCCTGGGAGGAGGCCGGCAGCCCCGCAGGCGCACATGGTCGGGGAGGTTGGTGTTTGTGGCAGGGCAAAGGCAGCGCCATCCCGGTCGGGGAGGTTGGTGTTTGTGGCAGGACAAAGGCAGCGCCATCTCCCAGCCCCAGGGAAAGTAGCGGTTCCTACTAAAGGAGAACAAAAGC